AAATGTGAGACCTGAAGCCCTAAAACTCCTAGTAGAAAACAAATGCTCCTAGGCATTGATCTTGTCAATGAGTTTTTTGGATCTGACACAAAAAGCTCAAGCAACAAAAGCAAAATTAAACAAGTGGGACTACATCAAACTAAAAAGTTTCTGTACAGCAAAGGAAACAAACAAATGAGGGTATTATGCAAAGTGAAATAAGTCAGAGGGAGAAGGTCAAATACCGTATGATTTCCTTCATTAAGTAGTAGATAATAACAACAATAAACAAAGACATAGAGATAGAGATTGGATTGGTGGTTACCAGAGGGGAAGGGGGGAGGGAGGAGGGCAAAAGGGATAATTCGGCACATGTGTGTGGTGATGGGTTGTAATTAGTATTTGGGTGGTGAACATGATGTAATCTACGCAGAAATAGAAATATAATGATGTACACCTGAAATTTATACAATGTTATAAACCAATGTTGCTGCAATAAGCAAAAATTTTTTTTTAAAAATGGTATTTACAAAATAAAAGCAACCTACAGAGTGGTAGATAATATTTATAAACCATATAACTGATAAGGGGCTAATATCCAAAATATGTAAGGCACTCATAACTCAATAGCAAATGATGATAATAATAACACAATTAAAAATGGGCAAAGGACCTGAACAGACATTTTTCCAAAGAAGACATACAAATGGCCAACAGGTACATGAAAAGGTGCATGACTTCACTAATTATCAGAGAAATGCAAATCAAAACCACAATGAGATATCACCTCACACCCCTAGGATGACTAGTGTCCAAAAGACAGAGATAAGAAGTGTTGACAAGGGTGTGGAGAAAAGGGAAACTTTGTGCATTGTTGGTGAGAATGTAAACTGGTAAAGCCATTACAGAAAATAGTATGGTGGTTCCTCAAAAAATTAAAAATAAAACTATCATATGATCCAGCCATCCCAGTTCTAGGTATATATCCACAGGAAATGAAATCAATATCTCAAAGAGATATCTGCATCCCTACGTTCACTGCAGCATTATTCACAATAACCAAGATATAGAAACAATCTAAGTGTTCATTGATGTATGAATGGATAAAGAAAATGCGGTATGTTATATATATAGTGGAATATTATTCAGCCACAAAAAAGGAAATCCTGCCATTTACAACAACACGGATGAATTTGGATGAGCCTCATTATGCTAAGTGAAATAAGCCAGACACAGAAAGACAAATACTGCATTATCTCACTTATACGTAGAATCTGAGAAAAGTTGAATTTATAGAACCAGAGAGTAGAATAGTGATTGTAGAGGCTGGGGAGTGGGAGAAATGGGGAGATATTGGTCAAAGGGAACAAACTTTCACTTATGAGCTGAAAACTTCTGGGCATCTGATGTACAGCATGGTGACTATAGTTAGTGATATTGTATCACATACTTGAAATTTGCTAAAAGAATAGATCTCAAGTGTTCTTACCACACATACAAAAAAAAATTCTAACTAGGGGAAGTAATGGATGTGTTAATTAACCTGATTGTAGTAATCATTTTACAATGTATACATATATTAAATCATCATGCTGTAATTATATACAAATATATCATATATATAAATATATATAATTTTATTTGTCAATTATCCCTCAATAAAACTTGGGAAAAATTTTAAATAAGAGGAAATAAAAAGGCAAATTACCCACTCCTAGAAATGGAAACTTTAAACCATTTTGTTTAAATTTCTCAGGACAGAAGTCATGCCTACTAGACAGATACTGGACAGGATGTCATCTCTAAAGGCTTGGGGATGTGGTTTTAGCACCTTCTGAGAAAACAGATCTGGTCTTAAGTCCCCATGATGCAAGTATTTTGAACTAAGAGATAGTATTGTGGAGAAAAGAACACTTGAGTAATGCCAAGTCTTTGGAAGGATTTCTCTCTTAGGAAAAGCAGCTCTAGAATTGCTCCAATCACCATCTCAGAAAATGACAAGAAAACTTGCTTATGTTTGCAAGTCTGGAAGCAGACTTATGAAAAATCGAAAACACAGACATCTTTCATGAGAGTATGAGATTGAATTTCGCTCATGACCCATGTGGGAACAAAACCATAAATTAATGTAAAATTGGCTACAGTCTGCTGAAACCCCTGGGAACTCCAGAAAAGTCAAATGGAAAACAATACTACAGTCACGCGTCACTTAACGACAGGGGTACATTCTGAGAAATGCTTTGTTAGGTGATTTCATCATTGTATGAACATAATAGAGTGTACTTACACAAACCTAGATGGTATAGCCTACTACACACCTAGGCTACATGGTACTAATCTTTTGGGACCACCGTCAAATGTGCGGTCCATGGTTGACCGAAACATCGTTATGCAGCAAATGACTGTATTGCTACAAGTGCACAGAACTATATTGGAATCACATAGACAGGAAAATTCAATGTAAATCATCATCAATAAAAATTACAAACCTCCTGAGGAAACAAAGAACTCTCAAAATATAACAGAAGAATTAGCACCCCCAAAGAACTTGAGATAAAGAACTATCATATGCATATATAAATTATTAGAATAGTAAGAAGAGAGAACGCCCATAAGGAAACTGAAGCTATACCCATTCTCTAAAGTCCAGACCCAATCCCAATGAGGGCCATGCCATGGAGAGAGGGCCATGCCTCATCCTCGGTGGTGCCAGGGGGTTGACTCAAATTCCAGGGATGTTCCTCCCAACTTTCTAAATAATTTTCCAGGAACATCTCATCAGGCAACCAGCCACGTAAATAGAACCTCAGTGTCTCTGAGGAGAGAAGTAGCAGAACTTTCTCACCCTTCCAGGAGAACTATTTCTCTGCCCCTGGTCACTTGATCCCCAAAGGACAACTAGCCCTCTCCTGACCCAAGGATCCATTCACTCGTAAACTTATATTCATGTTGTGGTTGGAATTTAGGCTGACAGAGATGAATAAATTAAGATACATTATGTGGGAGAGGTGAGACAAGACACTGTCTTGGTCCAGAGACATCTTACTCATCTACAGACGAGCTTGCCCCACCATCTCCTTCAAAGGAGCTACCACATGCTCTGGTATCTAAATGTTTCCACAGACCAAGTGTGATCAAAAACCATATTACATAATCAGGTTTCTTGCATGCATGGGTTGAGTCCACTCTCTGTATATGTGGTGAACATTTAAATTCTGATGGGTGGCCCTGGGTCCTCACCCACTATTTTCTCTGCACCCATCTTTCCTATAAGTCTACCTAAGGTCTCCAAACAGTGCAAAACAAGAAGTTAGTTAGAAGAAACACTCAACTTTATCCTTGGTGAGTCCTATATTGGAGACCCCCAATATGCAAAGACAAGACAGTAGCAACCCAATGGGTGGTCTTGTTCACAGGAGGAACAGGGTTTCTTATTTTAGATCAGAATCTGCCTGGGATTTTGATGTCCAAGCTGTCATCTTGATCAAGAGTGAATATCTCACTTTAGTTTTCCTCTCTGGCATAGCTTCTGAGCAAGAATTTATGGACACATGGGGATGACGTTTTCTCTCAAAATTTTATAAGGACATTTTGGAAGAGACTACCTAGACAGGTAGAATTGGTCGATATTGCTTGGCTGGAGAAGGGGAATTCTGGGATTTGAAGCTGAACATTGAAGGCAACAGAAAAAAATGGAATGGAAATCCTGTCATTTGTGACAACAGGGATAAACTCGGAGGACACTCTGCTAAGTGAAATAAGCCAGACACACAAGGACAAATACTACTGACACCACTTAACATGAGGATGAAACTGTCCTATATTTTGTTTGAGGTGTTGGTTACACGATTATGTGCATTTATCAAAATTCATAGAACTGAACACCAAATGAGTAAATTTTACCATACGTAAATAAGAACGTGAAATGGAAAATATTCAACAACAACATCAAGAAATAAGAACAAAAGGTGATAGATTGGGGGAGGAGATTTTCTCGTAAAATGTGAGGCAGAATATGAATTGGCATAACATTTAATTTTCAAAAATTATTTAGACCTTTTTAAAAAAAGAATGATGGACACATTTTGAGTTAAAAACGTATCAAAATAGTTAAGATTTTGATATTTAATATCTGCTTTATAACAGACTAAAGGAATATACTTACGTAAGAAATAGAACATTTTTTGCTTAAAGAATAGCATTTGATTGAACCATTGTAACAAATATTTAAAGAAGATAGTGTTATCATTCCTTTCTGATGAAGCCAATTAGTTTATCCAAGCATATGCATGCTGTACACAGGGGAGCTGAAGTTAAACACTTTTTTTTTAATGATTCTAAGCTTTTTTCTCTGTATACTGCCCCATGCCTTTTCTGGGCATAATGTCCACATTTCAAAACTTAGAAATTGACTCAGAAATGAGGTTCAAGTGAGGCAGACAATTGTCAGAGGATCTGGTTAGACCGCAGATATGATCAGTTGTGTCATAGGGACCATGTCTTTTCCTTACACCCTATGGTCAGAGGCAGAGGGAGAGCTGCGAACTTTCTTGTAAAAAAGGTCAATGTGAAATCCCCATGGCGATTGGTGCTGGGCTTCACTAGCCACATCCTGTGAACCTCCCTGGCCTGCTGGGCTCAGTCTCCATCCAGCTGCTCCACACTAGCCTGGCAGAATCTATGCTATGCTTTCTACACTCGCTGCCCTGCTCTGCCTCGGTGAGTTCTGGCGTGGAAGGGAGATGGAATCCAGCAGTCTGGGTACGGGTGGGTCAACGTGTCTTATTAATCCTGTCTTCCAGAGCTGTGTCTGAGCCAGAGGATCAGCACCCAGAAGTGTGAGTCCTTCCTTCAAAGCCCCAGAGTCAGTCTTCTGGGTTCAGACTAAGTATCCCCCTGAGAACAACTGGAGGAGAGGGCAAGGGCTCTGGCTTGCTAGGAGGGCTTGAGGCAAGCAGCTGGGTGGAGAGGGGGGTAGGCAGGGGCTTTATCTAGAACTCCAGCATCTGATTCACTTCCAGATACTTCCTCAAAACCCATCATCTGGGCCAAGCCTGATGTCGTGATTCCAAGGGGAATGCCGGTTGTCATCTGGTGTCAGGGGACTCACGAGACCGTTGAGTACCAGCTGTATTTCGAGGGACAGCTTTGTGCCTCAGAGAGACCAAAAACACCCGGGATGACAAACAAAGTCAAGTTCCCCATCCCGGCCATGACCTTAAGCAATGCAGGGCAATACAAGTGCTTCTATCGAAGTGGAGAGCTCTGGTCAGGACCTAGTGACCCTCTGGACCTCGTAGTAACAGGTAACTGTCCCATTCTCTAGCTTTAGAGTCATCTCCTCAGCCTGAATCCTGGGGAGGGCCATTTTTATTCATTTCATTTAGTCCCTTCCAAGCTCACTCAAGTACTGTCTGTCTTGGAGGTGAGGGTTTGATCACTTCCTACAGGGTTTATCTATGGAAAGTTGTCTCCATGTCCTAGGAGTGGATTTATCTTAGGCCAAGTTGTCCGGGTAAGAGGCTCTGAGATAGATGTGTGTGTGCAGGGGAGATTACTGGGAAACATCCTGAACCACAACAACTGCGATGGGTGAGGGAAACAAGCTGGGCAGAAGGTTAAGCTGGCCTGTGCTTTAGTCTCAGAAGAGACCTCAGCTGAGCAAATGAGGAGCTCTGGACCTGGGACGGCCCTTCAGAGTCATCTTGAAATGAGGCTAGGGGCTCTGTACCCCCAGCATCAACCAGTGATTGCATGAGAACCCACTGCTATTGAGGTTCCACACAAATATCCTTGCTTTTGTGGCACCTGTATTCTAGCAGAAGACAGACCATGAGTCGAAGTCAGGATAAATAAATCAATTATATAGCACTTGAGGAGGAAACGGTGGTATGGAAAAAGACAAAGCAGGACGGTATTAAAGTGATTAGGAGGGAGGAGTATCTTAAGTCAGGCGGTTCCCTTCAGCTGATGGATGTGGTTCTTGCACTTAAGCAAGTATCAGAATCACCAAGTATCAGAATCAGAGGACTCGTGGAAACACGGGTGGCTTTAGTACACACGCATTAATGGAAACACTATTCACAATGGCAGAAAGGTAGAAACAACCCAAGTGTCTATTGATGGATGAATGGATAAACACAATGTGGTACACACATAAAATGGAATATTATTCAGCCTTAAAAAGGAAGGAGGCTCTGATACCTGCTACAACATGGATGAAGCTTGAAGACATTATGCTGTGAGAAATAAGCTAGTCACAGAGGGATACTATATGGGATACTTAGAATAGTCCAACTTAGAGCCAGAAAGTAAAATGGTGGTTGCCAGGGGCTGGGTGGAGGGGGAATGGGGAGTTATTGTTTAATGGGTACAGAGTTTCAGTTTTGAAAGATGAAAAGAATTCTGGAGATGGATGGTGATGATAGTTGTTCAGCAATGTGACTGTACCTAATACCACTGAAATGTACACTTTAAAAAAATGGTGAAGATGGCAATTTTTTTTTTTGGTTTATTGTGGTAACATTGGATTATAACATTGTATAAATTTCAGGTGTACATCATTGTACTTCTATTTCTGCATGGATTACATCATGTTCTCATGTTCACCACCCAAATACTAATTACAATCCATCACTGCACACATGTGCCTAATGATCCCTTTCACCCTCCTCCCTCCCCCCTTCCCTTCTGGCAACCACCAATCCAATCTCTGTCTCTATGTGTTTGTTATTGTCTACTACTTAATGAGTGAGATCATCCAGTATTTGACCTTCTCCCTCTGAATACTTCACTTTGCATAATACCCTCAATGTCCATCCATGTTGTCACAAATAGCTGGCTTTCAACATTTCTTATGGGTGAGTAGTATTTCATTGTGGATAAATACCACATGTTCTTTATCCATTCTTCCCTTGATGGGCAGTTAGGTTGCTTCCACATATTGGCTATTGTGAATAATGCTGCAATGAACAGAGGGGTGCATATATATTTACGCATTGGTGTTTTCATGTTCTTTGGATAGTTACCCAGCAGTGGAATAGCTGGATCACATGGTAGTTCTATCCTTAATTTTTTGAGGAATCTCCATACTGTTTTCCATAGTGGCTGCACCAGTTTGCACTCCCACCAGCAGTGTATGTGAGTTCTCTTCTCTCCACATCCTCTCCAACACATGTTGTTTCCTGTCTTGTTAATGATAGCCATTCTGATGGACATGAGGTGATATCTCATTGTAGTTTTGATTTACATTTCCCTGATAGTTAATGATGTTGAACATCTTTTCATGCGCCTGTTGGCCATCTGTATATCTTCTTTGGAGAAATGTCTGTTTATGTCTTTTGCCCATTTTTTAATTAGGTTGTTAGTTTTTTTGTTGTTGAGATGCATGAGTTCTTTATATATTTTGGAGATTAACCCCTTATCAGATGTATGGTTTGCAAATATCTTCTCCCAATTGTTAGGTTGTCTTTTCATTTTGTTGGTGGTTTCCTTTGCTGTGCAGAAGCTTTTTACTTTGAAGTAGTCCAATTTGTTTATTTTTTCTATCGTTTCTCTTGCCCGGTCAGACATGGTGCTTGAAAATATGTTGCTAAGGGCCAGCCCCGTGGCTTAGTGGTTAAGTGCTCATGCTCCGCTGTTGGCGGCCCGGGTTCCGATCCCGGGCGTGCACCGATACACCGCTTCTCCGGGCATGCTGAGGCCGCGTCCCACATACGGCAACTAGAAGGATGTGCAGCTATGACATACAACTATCTACTGGGGCTTTGGGGAAAATAAATAAATAAATAAAATTATTAAAAAGAAAAAAGAAAATATGTTGCTAAGACCAATGTCAAAGAGCATACTGCCTGTGTTTTCTTCTAGAAGTTTCATAGTTTCAGGTCTTACATTCAAGTCTTTAATCCATTTTGAGTTAATTTTTGTGTATGATGTAAGGTAATGGTCTATTTTCATTTTGTTACGTGTGGCTGTCCAGTTTTCCCAGCACCATTTGTTGAAGAGACTTTCCTTTGTCCATTGTATGTTCTTGGCTGCTTTGTAGATGATTGGCTGTCCATAGATGTGTGGGATTATTTCTGGGCTTTCGATTCTATTCCATTGATCTGTGTGTCGGTTTTTGTGCCAGTACCATGCTGTTTTGGTTACTATAGCTTTGTAGTATATTTTGAAATCAGGGAGTGTGACACATCCAGCTTTGTTCTTTTTTCTCAGGATTCCTTTGGCTATTTGAGGTCTTTTGTTGTTCTATATAAATTTTAGGATTCTCTGTTCTATTTCTGTGGAAAATGTTGTTGGAACTTTGATACAGATTGCATTGAATCTACAGATTGCTTTAGGAAGTATGGACATCCTAATTATGTTAATTCTTCCCATCCCAGTGCACAGAATATCTTTCCATTTCTTTGTGTCTTCTTCAATTTCTTTCAGCAATGTTTTATAGTTTTCAGTGTACAGATCTTTCACCTCTCTGGTTAAGTTTATTCCTAGGTATTTTATTCTTTTTGTTGAAATTATAAATGTGATTGTATTCTTAATTTCTCTTTCTGCTACTTTGTTGTTAGTGTATAGAAATGCAACTGATATTGTATCCTGCAACTTTACCATATTCATTTATTACTTCTAAAAGTTTTTTTGTGGATTCTTTAGGGTTTTCTATATATAAAATCAGGTCATCTGCAAATAGTGACAGTTTCACTTCTTCCTTTCCAATTTGGATCTCTTTTGTTTCTTTTTCTTACCTGATGGTTCTGGCTAGGACTTCCAAAACTAAGTTAAATAGGAGTGGTGAGAGTGGACATCCTTGTCTGGTTCCTTTGCTTAGAGTGATAGCTTTCAGTTTTTCACCATTGAGAATGATATTAGCAGTGGGTTTGTCATATATGGCCTTTATTAGGTTGAGGTACTTTGCTTCTATACCCATTTTATTCAGAGTTTTTATCATAAATGGATGCTGTTTCTTGTCAAATGTTTTCTCTGCATCTATTGAGATGATCATGTGATTTTTATCCTTCATTTTATTAATATGGTGTATCACATTGATTGATTTGCGAAATTTGAACAATCCCTGGAATAAATCCCACCTGATCATGGTGTATAATCTTTTTAATATATTGTTGTATGCAATTTGCTCGTTTTTTTTTTTTTTGAAGATTTTTGCATCAATATTCATCAGCGATTTTGGTCTGTAATTTTCTTTTTTTGTGTTGTCCTTGTCTGGTTTTGGTATCAGGGTAATGTCAGCTTCGTAGAATGAGTTAGGGAGCTTCCCCCCACCTCAATTTTTTGGAAGAGTTTGAGAAGGATAAGTATTAAGTCTTCTTTGAATGTTTGGTAGAATTCACCAGGAAAGCCGTCTGGTCCTGGACTTTTATTTTTGGGGAGGTTTTTGATTACTGTTTCAATCTCCTTACTGGTGATTCGTCTATTCAAATTCTCTACTTCTTCTTGATCCAGTTTTGGAAGGTTGTATGATTCTAAGAATTTATCCATTTCTTCCAGATTGTCAAATTGGTTGGCATATAGCTTTTCATAGTATTCTCTTATAATCTGTTGTATTTCTGAAGTGTCCATTGTGATTTCTCCTCTTTCATTTCTGATTTTACTTATTTGAGCCTTCTCTCTTTTTTTCGTGGTGAGTCTAGCTAGTCAATTTTGTTTATCTTTTCAAACAACCAGCTCTTGGTTTTATTAATTTTTTCTATTGTTTTTTTGGTCTCTATTTCATTTATTTCTGCTCTGATTTTTATTATTTCCATTCTTCTACTGATTTTGGCCTCTGTTTGTTCTTCTTTTTCCAGTTCCTTTAGGGGCATTGTTAGATTGTTTATTTGAGATTTTTCTTGTTTGTTGTGATACACCTGTATTGTTCTAAACTTCCCTATTAGAACTGCTTTTGCTGTAACCCTTAAATTCTGGCATGGTCTATTTTCATTTTCATTTATCTGCAAGCATGTTTTGATATCTCATTTGATTTTTTCATTGATCCAATCTTTGCTCAGTAGCATTTTGTTTACTCTCCACATATTTGTGGGTTTTCTGATTTTCTTCCTATAGTTGATTTCTAGTTTCATACCGTTGTGGTCAGTAAAGATGCTTGGTATTATTTCAATCTTCTTAAATTTATGGAGACTTGTTTTGTGGCCTAATATGTGATCAATCCTGGAGAATGTTCCATGTGCATTTGAAAAGGATTTATATTCTTCAGTTTTTGGATGGAATGCTCTGTATATATCTACTAGGTTTGTCGGTTCTAGTGTGTCATTTAACACCAATGTTTCCTTATTGATCTTCTGTTTGGATGATCTATCCATTGGTGTAAGTGGAGTGTTCAAGTCCCCTACTATTATTGTGTTACTGTCTATTTCTGTTTTTATGTCTGTTCATAATTGCTTTATATATTTAGGTGCTCCTGCATTGGGTGCATAGATATTTACAAGTGTTATGTCCTCTTGTTGGATTGTTCCCTTGATCATTATGTAATGCCCTTCTTTGTCTCTTTTTATAGTTTTTCTTTTAAAGTCTTTTATGTCTGATATGAGTATTGCTACCCCAGCTTTCTTTTCATTGCCATTAGCATGGAGTATCTTTTTCCATCTCTTTACTTTCAGTTTGCGAGTGTCTTTAGGTCTGAAGTGTGTCTCTTGTATGCAGCATATATATGGGTCTTGTTTTTTTATCCACTCAACCACCTTATGCCTGTTAATTGGAGCATTTAGTCCATTAACGTTTAAAGTAGCTGTTGACAAGTATGTACTTACTGACATTTTTTAACTTTTTTTCTTGGTGTTTTAGTAGTTCTTCTCTGTTCCTTTCTTCTCTTGTTCTCTTCCCTTGTGGTTTGATGGCTTTCTTTAGTATTATGTTTGGATTCCTTTCTCTTAGTTTTTTGAGTATTTATTGTAGGTTTCTGGTTTGTGATTACCATGGGGTTCATATATAGTAACCTATCTATATAGCAGTCTACATTAAGTTGATAGTCTCTTTAATTTGACCTCTGTCTGAAAGGTCTACTCTTTAATTCCCCTCCTCCCACATTTTATGTTTTTGATATCATATCTAACCTCTTTTTTGTGCATTTGTATCCATTACCCTCTTATCATGGAAATAGATAATTTTTCCTATTTGTGGTCTTCTCTTTTACCCTTAAATAAGTCCCCTTAGCATTACTTGTAGCACTGGTTTCTTGGTGACAAACTCTTTTAATTTTTGCTTGTCTGGGAAACGTTTTATCTCTTCTTCCATTTTGAATGATAACCTTGCCAGATAGAGTATTCTTGGCTGTAGGTTTTTTCCTTTTTGCACTTTAAATATATCTTGCCACTCTCTTCTAGCCTGTAAGGTTTCTGCTGAGAAGTCAGCTGATAGCCTTATGGGGTTTCCGTTGTATGTAACTTTTCTTTCTCTTGCAGCTTTTAGGATTCTCTCTTTATCTTTAATTCTGGACATTTTGATTATGATGTGTCTTGGTGTGGGCCTCTTTGGGTTTATCTTGTTTGGGGCTTTCTGTGCTTCCTGTACCTGGATGGCTGTTTCCTTCCTTAGGTTAGGGAAGTTTTCAGTTATTATTTGTTCAAATAGATTCTCTGCCCCTTTGTCTCACTCTTCCCCTTCTGGGACACCTATAACACGGATGTTAGTGCACTTGATGTTGTCCCAGAGGTCCCTTAGACTGTCTTCACTCTTTTTAATTCTCTTTTCTTTCATCTGTTCAGCTTAGGTGATTTCTTCTAATCTTTCGTCCAGCTCTCAGATCCGTTCTTCTGTATCCTCTACTCTGCTTTTGAGTCCCTCTAGTGAATTTTTCATTTCCAGTATTGTATTCTTCATTTCTGATTGGTTCTTTTTTATATCTTCCGTTTCTTTGTTCACCTTCTCACTGAGTTCATCCATTCTTCTCCCCAGATCAGTGAGCATCCTTAACACTCTTTGTTTGAACTCTCTGTCGGGTAAGTTGCTCATTTCTGTTTCACTTAGTTCCTTTTCTGGGGTTTTGTCCTGTTCTCTTACTTGGAATGTATTCCTTTGCCTCCTCATTTTGCCTCTTTCCCTGTGCTTGTGTCTATGTATTAGGTAGGTCAGCTACGTCTCCTGCTCTCGGAGTGGTGACTTTATATAAGTGATGCCTTAGGAGGCCTGGCAGTGTGCTTCCCTCTCCTCTCCAGTTGCAAATGTTCTAGGAGTGACCTCTGTGTGGGCTACATGAGTCCTTCTGTTGTGGTGGGGTTGTTCTTCCCGTAGGTGTTCAGGGAGTCTGAGCTATTCCCCTGGCGAGCTGTTGTAGTGCTCAGCTGTGTGTAGTTGTTGTGGGCCCTTCAATCTCTTTATCGGGTGTGGGGTGTCCCAGCACAGTTGGATGCAAGGCCTAATAGCACAATTCGGTTGCTGTATTTCTATTAAGTGAGCTGGCCCCCAATGTGGCAGATTGTTAGGCTCAGGGACTTACAATTGCTATAAGCCTCTAGCCTTTAGGTCCCTTGTCAACTCTCTCAGGATTGCAGCCATGTGGGGCGGGCCTCAGGCAGGGGAGCACCCAATTGTTTCAGGCTTTTGAAGGTGGGACCAACCCCATATGTCACTCTTTGAGAAGCACACATCTTCTGAAGCTGACAAGCCCCACTGCCCACAGGTCCACACACACAGTCAACACAGTCCTGCCCCGTGCATGAGCCCCAACCTCCTGACGTGGACCCAGTCTCTCCAAGGCGGGAGCCCCATACTCTCCACCACCCCCCACACTCTCCACTGGCTCCTTGAACACACCCTGCCCTACAGAGGCGGACCCAGTCACCAGGCTGTGGAGAATCCAGGTACCTCCCTTATCAGGCTCACAAGTTTCCCGAGGGCTTGTTTTTGGGTGGGGCCAGCCCCTAGGGCGGGCTGCTTGCCCTGGCTGAGCTGGATTAAATCAGTGCTCTCGTGGGTGGGGCAGAACCTGGGCTAGCAGGCCCCAGTGAGAACTCCAATGGTGTTTGCCAGCGTCTATGTCAGCACGCCCACACCAGGTCACAATTATGGCTGCCACCAATGTCCCAGTCCCAGGAGAGGTCTCACCTCTCACCAAGATGTACTCAGAGCCTATCAGGTGAGTCTCTTTTTCCCAAAGGGCTATGCACCTTTCTTTCTGCTGATTTTAGGTTGCTTTCTGAAATGGGTGAGTTTGTGTGGGGGCCCTTTAAGAGCTGGTTTTAATTTCTTTGTGAACCAGCTTTTCTGGGGGTACTCAGCAATGTTTTAGTAGCAAGAAAAGTCAGTTATTATGCCACTCATCTCGATTGTGCTGGTTCCAAAATATGCCTACAGTGGGGGCGCTACCCGTCTCAAGCCCCACACATCCAAGGAGGGCTGCATACCTTTGGGCTACTCCCGGGCAGCCAGGAAGCGCTGCAGCTTGTGAAGGTGGGATTTTTTCTCTCCAGAAGGGAATTTCTGTCTTTTCCACCTCAATTAGGGTTGTCGTTTGTTGCAGGAGGTCCTCATATCCAGTTTTCAGTTCTCTCTCAGGGGTAATTTTTCCAAGAGTAGTTGTAAATTGGCTGTGTCCATGAGAGGAGGTGAGTTCAGAGTCTGCCCATGCCACCATCTTGACTTCTCCCCCTCAAGATGGCAAATTTTATGTTGGATGTATTTCCCAACAATTAAAAATAATAATAATTTTTAAAATAGATGGCTGCCCCACTCCTGAGTTTCTGATGCAGTGGGCCTTGGGTGGAGCCTGGGAATTTGCATTTCTAACAAGCTTCCAGGTGATGCTGATGTTTCTGGTCCCAAGGACCAAACTCTGAGAACCACTGATGTATGGTAATTCCCAGAGAAAGATTCATATTAATACTCCTGGAAGCTAGGGGAGTGAGTGTCTCAGCCTTGAAGGGAGAGATCAGAGAGGGTGTGTCTACGACCAGGACAAATTTAGGAAATAGAAGGGACAGATTCTGGGGAGTGATATCTGGTCTTAAGGACAAGGAGGATGGGAGATATAGGAGACAAGATAAAGATGCTCTTTACCTACCAGCCACTTTCTCTCACAGGAATGTATGACACACCCACCCTTTCAGTTCAGCCTGGGCCTGCAGTGATTTCAGGAGAGAACGTGACCTTCTACTGCCGTCTAGGGACTGCAACAACCACGTTCTTTCTGCTTAAGGAGGGGAGATCCAGCCGTCCACAGCACAGATATGGGAATGTCCAGGCTGAGTTCCGCCTGGGCCCTGTGACCACAGCCCACAGAGGAACATACAGATGTTTTGGTTCTTATAACAACCATGTGTGGTCTTTCCCCAGTGAGCCTGTGAAGCTCCAGGTCACAGGTGAGGAAATCCCCAATTTTCCCCCATGTCCTTTCTGGAAGCCCAAGTGAACCCAACTAGTGGTGAGGAAGGCAGCAAAAGGACAACTGGGAAGATGCAGAGAGGGCACCTCCTACCAGTGCCCTCATCCACATCCATTTCCTGGAGGCCCAGTTGATTGTTCATGAGGAAGAATGCCAGAGGGATGAGGAGGAGGGTATAGAGAATAGGTGGGAATAACAGAGGAAACCCCAAACCCTGACTTGTTTCCTTGTCTCCATTGTCAGGAGATGTCGGGGACCCCAGCCTTGCACCAACAGAGTACACCTCTTCTCCTGGTGAGTAACAGATACTTCTAAACTTGGAGGAGAATTCAAAGCCTCCTAATGACACTAAAAACATGATTTTCATTCAAAATATCCATTGAGTGTACAGTGTATGCCATGACCTACAGTTCTCTCAGCCAACCAGACAAATACCCTTGTTTTCGTGGCACTTGTCTTCTAGCAGGAGACAGACAGTGAGTCAAAGGCAAATAAATCAATTATGCAGCAGGTGAGGAGGAAATTATGGTATGGAAAAAGACAAAGCAGAACAAACAGAGTTATGGTGATTAGGAGGTCAGGTAGCAATGCTAACAGAGTTGTCTGAGTTGGCCTCACAGAGAAGGAGGCGTCTGAGCAAAAACTTGAATGAGTTGAGGGCATTAGTCCTGTGGCTATCTGGAGAAAGAAGTTCCAGAGAGAAGGAATGGCCACTGCATATGCCCTAAGGCAAGGAGATAGCCAGTGTGATAAAAGAATAGCAAGGAGGCCAGTGGGACTGGAAATGATGTCAGAAAGGGGATAGTGGGGAAGGGCTGGGGCTGGGGCAGCCCTTTTAGGACCTTGAAGAAAATGATAAGACTTTGAATTTTAGTATGTATGAGGAAGAAGAAATGATATTGATTGACTTAATGAGGAAACTGAGGCTCATATACAAGATATGCTTGGCACGAAGACACACACTTATTAGTCCTCGAGCTTAATTCTTCCTCAGGTTAGTCTGTCTTTTGACTCTTCCACTCTACCTGCTGAATGAAGCCACTAGGACGTATAGTGTGAGATAGGGACCTCAAAAAGCAATAGGATGTCATGGGGTACATCCAAGGGAAGCAGAGCCTGGATAGGAGAGGCCAACACCATCCCTTTTCCTGACTTCTTCACTTTCCTTATCACCTGCAGACTCTTGGAACCCCTACTTGTTAACCACAGAGATGCAATTCCAGAAAGGTAAGCAAGTATCTGGGACTTTAGGATCTAAGGGAAGTAAGGTCTGGAAAGGAGAGAGGGAGAGAGATGAGGTGAGGTGGTGTGCTGTGCATATGTTCCTGTCAGCAATCACTCTGTTCTTCTGACCCCAGATCCTGCCCTCTGGAATCATGCTGCCCAGAATCTCCTTCGGATTAGTCTGGCTTTCCTGGTCCTGGTGGCCCTCATGTGGCTCCTGGCTGAAGACTGGCTTCACAGAAAGAGGGCTCAAGAAGGAGCCAACAAGTCTTCAAGCCAGGAAGGCAGGAGAAGGCACAGAATACAAAGGCACCTGGACAAATAACCAATGGATGCAGTGGCCATAGGTAGAGCTGAAAGCTAATCTCGACCTTGGGCTATGTGAGCTCTGTGTTGTGCCCATGCAGGACGGAGTAGTTGCAAGAAACTAAGGGATGACTGCATGGAGTTTGGTGAAGCATCCTGGGGGAGGCAGGAGAGGGGATGAAGATGCTCAATTTCCTCTGCATACAAATCCTATTGTCTTCCCTAGGTTCTAAGTATTTTTGCGCTCGCTTACTGTAAACCAAACTTCTAGCCACTCTGGTCTTTCCTTAAAAGATCTTTAACATCACAGCCATGGGGAATATTTCCTTCCTACTTGGTCTTTATCCCTATTTCCTCTTTGCTTTCTCTGCAGATGTCATTCAAAATATTTACCGACCAGTGCAGAATAGGCATCTATCAAATGCAATAGGAGTCAGAGAGGCAACAACCAGTCACTGGAGACACAGGCTGTAAACAAACAGTGCAGCTATATGAGTGTGTCCTGGCTGGATCTGACTCATCTCAGCCTCAATTCCCTCTATCCTGTCCACCACAGGATCCTGTCTTCCCTTCTTTATCCATGCCTCACATTTTTCTTTGGGTCTCTGAGTAGATATCATCTCCTTCAAGAAAGTTTCCCAAGTCCTCTAGGGACTTGCACACTCCCAAAGCACCTGTTATTTCTCCATAACAGCACTTGAACCCTAACACTGCATACATATCCATTTTCCTGTCTCTACTGTGAACTCATGTGAATTAAATCTATGTCAGATTTCATGGCCGTGTTCACAGTTCCCACTACTAGAGCGTTCTCAGGAAATGTATGTTGGATAAATGGGTATATAAATGGGGCCAGAGTACAGTTTGAAACTTGAGCCTCCTGAATATGATCCTTTAAATGCTGTCTGGGCACCACATTCTCTTTCCTCCTTGAGAATTTCTACAATTTCTACTTGACCAACCCACTAATAGACCCATTGTATGGGTCCCCATCCCCTCACAATATTCTGCAGGTCAAATTCATCCTTTAAATCTGAGTTTTCTGTTAAATATCAGGGAATAATCATTCCAACCTCAAAGAGATAACACGAAAATTTAATGATATAAATAATATCAATAAACCGGCAAAAACTCTGACTTATATAAGTTACTCAATGCATAGTAACCATTATTATTCACAGTACCATAGGGAATTGAAAATTTCACCAATTATCATCTCATTACCAGTGGCCCCAATACTGAATTTTCTTCTTTCTGTTCTTCATCTCCCCACTGTCCTAAGGTCTACGAATTTCTAAATTAGTATCAAATTATAGTCTTCTTCATCCCAAGATGAGATGGACGTGTTCGGAGTGGGTTTATGACATTCCAAAGATTCCATATTCTAGTTTGTGACAAGAAATGTAGAATCTCAAGGAAAAAATGTGTTGATAGAAGTATTTTAAGTCTCAAGATATAGATGCAGAGGCCTGACCTGGCAAAGGAGCCTCTTCAGAGGAATGGAGGGGTCTTTAACACCCATGGCCCTGCTAGTCTCCTCATCAGTGCAAGTCAAAGTCTTCCAAAACTAGTCAACAGGGCAAGACCAAATGTTTAAGTATTGCATTACTCTTTTTGAAATGTTGAACATGGCTTGAATTGCAGACAGCAAAGTGAAGGATGGAGAGGAAGAAAAGAAAACAGGGAAGGAGGTAGGGAGGAGGGGAGGGAGGAAAGTACTGGCCAATTGTTTGTTACAAAGATTTCTTGGAAACACACAATACTTCCATTTATCTCTCAATGATAGGAACCTAATAGCTTGCCCCAGCTAGATGCAAAAGAGGTTGAGATATGTAGCCTTTATTCCATGTGGCACTGTGCCAAGCTAAATGTTGGTGCTTCTGGTACCAGTGAAGGGGGGGATAACATGATAGAGTTTTGTAATAGGTAACCCCAACCTCTGCTACAAGAGCCTACTGTGTGCCAGGCGCTATGAAAGTATAACACACCAAGGCAAACATTATCCCTGCCATAACAGGATTGATTGTCCAGGAGTACAGATCATAAATAAGTGAATAAAGAACAGAGGATAAGTCTTGTGATACAGGAAATCCAAGATGCTATTGGAGCCTCTTCCTGTGCAAGAGTCCGTTAACTAGACATTAAGGAGGATATAGAGGTGGGGAAAGGGATGATGGTGGTAGGTGTCTGTACCAATTCATGCAAAGGCTCAGATGCAAGATGGATGGTGAAAAACCAAAGATCAGTATAAGTAGAGCTTTGATTGTGAGAGACAGAGTGGCTCTGGGTGATGCTGGGCAAATGCAGGAGACATATCAAGTATGGCATGGACACCGCATTAATAAGTGCATGTTTTATCCTTAAGGCAAAGGGAGCTCATTAAGCATTTTGATCATGGATGTGATATGATAAATTGTGCACCATATAAAGACCCTTCTGATTTCAGTGAGAAGAAGGAAATATGCAGAAGAAGACAAAAAACATGGGGAAAAAAAGAGAGAAGAGTCGAGAATGGCTCACCTATTTACGGAGTTGACAATCAGGAAGATAACAATACCACAACTAATATTGGTAACCCAGAGGGATGTCCAGCTACGGGTGATGGGTACATGGTCTTGAGATTTGGTAACATATGTTCTTCAGCTTTGTCCTTATTTTTCAAGATTGCCTTGATTATTCTGGGTGCTTTAGATTTCAATATTAACTTTAGGCTGTCAGTTTTCAGAAAATACTCGCCTTGGTTGCACATGAGATTGTATTGAAGCTACAGATCAATTTAAGGAGAATTAGCAACTCTTCAACCTTTCAATCTGTGGGAGTTTCCAACCATAAATGTGGTATATTTCACCACTTAATTATATGTTCACTAACTTCTCTGAATAATATCTTGTAGTCTTCTATGCAAAAAATGTACCTATCTTTTGTTAGATATCCGCCAGAAATATCCTCTAGCTACATAACCTCCAGATAGATCCCTAGTTACCTGATTTTCATTTTGTAAGTGGTATCATTCTTTAAATAATTTTATTGCTAGTGTTTGTTGCTGGTATTATAAAAATAAAATTTGCTTTTGTATATCAAATGTGTATTCAGTGGTCTTGCAAAATTCACTTCTTAATTTTAATAGTTTTAGATTATTTTATTTTGAGATTGAAAAATTTTTGAATTTTTTCTACAATTGGTTTCTTTTTGTGCTTATTACCTGGTTAGATCCTCCAGTGCATTCATGAGTAGGAGTGACAATAGCAAGTATTCTTTTCTTAGTACCAATATTATGGGGAATATTTTTGATATATTACCGTTGAGTAAGCTAATCGCTATAATATTTTGTATATACTCATTGTCCCATTTGGAAAACTCCTTTGCATTCTTTTGCTAAGTTTATTTCCATTCAAAACTGAGAAAGAACATATCCAGTGAGACCAGTTGGGGGGGGTGTCCTACATTATTCTAGAAAGTTGACAACTACTCAGAAAGGTGGATGCCTTTGACGTATTTTAGGCACAGAAGCCATACTTCATTTTATTGTCTAGAAATGATGGCTGAGAAGGTGGCAGGGTCAACAAAGACTCTAAAATTTGTAAATTGGGCAAGTGAGTGGATGAAGGGGACATTTTTCCCCTCACTCCCACCCATTGGTGTTGATATTGTAGCTGAACCATGAGAGGTATGGCAAGCAGAGGATATATTTGGGGCAGAGGCAGAGGCACAAATTAGTGGTCCGTCTTGCCAAACTGAAAAGTGTTTTTTTTATTGAAATATAATTGACGTATAACACCAAGTTTAAGGTGTACAACATGTTGATTTGATACATTTATGTATTGCAATGTGAATACCAGCATAGCTTTAGCTAACACCGCTATTGCATCACATAATTATTTCTTTTTTGTGGCGGGAATAATTAAGATCTGTCTCTCTTAGTAATAATACGATATTGTTGTTTATAATACAACATTGTTGTCTATATTCACTATACTGTGCATTAGATCTCCAGGACTTTTTTATCTACTAGTTGCAAGTTTGTACCCTTTGACAATATCTCCCCAATTCCCCCTCCTCCCAGCCCCTGGTCACCACAGTCTACTCTCTGTCTCTATGAGTTCAGCTTTTTTAGACTCCACATATAAGTGAGATCGTACAGTATTTGTCTTTCTCTGTCTGACATCTTGCTTAGCACAGTGTTCTCAAGAGTCATCCATGTTGTCACAAATGGCAGGATTTCTTTCTTTCTCATGGCTGAATAATATTCTTGTGTGTGTGTGTGTGTGTGTATAAAAGCATTTTTAAAAAGTAGGCACACTCATCACTCTATACCACAGCACTGGTCTAGCCCACCTCCCTTTTCAAGGTGTTCACATACTGAGTGATCTGTCTCTGCAGGTTGATGCTACAGTATCCTGGTCTCACTGATGATGGGAAAGGTGAGGTTGGAAGGCTGAGATGGCCTCTCCTTTCCCTACCTCAGTCCAGCGTCTCTCCCTTCTGCATTTCCCCTAGTTTCTTCCATATTCCCAATTACAAAAATAAGACAGGATCTCCAGTCTGCCTTCCCTGTTTTCTTCATCCCATTTCATACAACAAATGCATTGCAGAATCATAGGGAGAAAGGACCAAATTCGATCTCTGGTAAAACCTGTGTTCCTGAGGCAAGACATGTCTCCTCTATTTCCACCTTCCATTTGCCAAAGGAGGGAACAGTAGCTCCTTCATAGCAATGTTATGAGGCCGTGATGTCATCCTAGGGATGTATCAATGCTCCCCCACCACTGGGACCAAAGTTTGCAACTCTGAGTTAGGAACAGGAGCTAAGCTTCAGAACATGGAGACAATTATGTGGAGCAATGTCCCTCCCCTTCTACTCTGACTGGTCCCTGGATCTGAAGACCAATTTCCCTGAGATACAACCCACACTGGCAGCCTTTGCTTTGCCCCTTCACGCTCACTCCTCAACCACTGGAAACTGGTTTCTCACCTCACACTTCCTCTGAAGCTGGTTTTGTGACAAACACTCACGAGCTTCCTGGAACTCGCAGTGGACACTTGTCAGCCCTTCTCTTTGTTCCTCTGTCAGTTGCACATGCCCACTTCCTCCTTGAAACAGTCACTCTTCTCTGACATTTCTCTCTACTCGCTTTCTGACTGTTTCTGCAACCATCAGGTTTGCAG